AACTTGAATTGATTTTAAAATTGATATAGGCTGGGCATGGTGGCTCACGCCTGTAATCCCAGCACTTTGGGCGGCCGAGGTGGGCAGATCACGAAGTCAGGAGATCAAGACCATCCTGGCTAACATGGTGAACCCCGTCTCTACTCAAAATACAAAAAATTAGCCGGGGGTGGTGGGGGGCGCCTGTAGTCCCAGCTACTCGGGAGGCTGAGGAAGGAGAATGGCGTGAACCTGGGAGGCGGTGCTTGCAGTGAGTTGAGATTGCGCCACTGCACTCCAGCCTAGGCGACAGAGCGAGGCTCTGTCTCAAAAAAAAAAAAAAAGAAGAAGAAGAAAAAAGATATAAAAATACAAAGTCTCAAAAATAGCCAAAATACTCTTAAAGAAAAAGGATATGGTGGGAATGCTTATTAGATATCAAACTTAAATGAAATAAGACAATGCTGTATTGGCACACAGATAGACAGACTAGCAGGTCAATGGCACAGAACACAGAGAGCTCAAAGGGTCTACATTCTGGAACAGCTGCATGAGCTGCTCAGGGAAACCTCTCCCCCAGAAAGACATCTATTAAACTGCTCAGAATTAGCAGAAGCAATCATTCAGTGTCTCTAGAGATTGACCAAAAGGCTTATGACAAATTGCAAAACATCTATTCAGCAAGATCTAAGGAATCTTGGTAGGAGCAAGGTGAGGGCATCACTTTGGAACTAGAAGTAGAGCCTTCACCATCCCCCACAGATCTGCCTTGCACAAAGACCTGTTCCAGCAGGTAGAGTGTAGTTGACAGCAAATCAATTTCTCTCTCTCTCTCTCTCTCTCTCTCACACACACAATTCTTTACCCTATGCTTAAAAAAAAATTATATTGATGAAACCACTTCACAAATCAATTCTGCACATGGCCACATCGAACGTTAATACATTTTTAAAAGTAGATGGTTTTCTAGGTCATAGTCTCAGATCACAGGCCAATAAAATTAGGGGAAAGCAACTTAAAATGCCAACAAAACCCCCCAAAAACAAAACAAAACAAAACAAAAAAACAATTTACTTGGAAATTATACAGTCTCCTAAATAACCAGTGGATCAAAGAGAAAATAATGACAAATTACAATCTAGCAATTAATGACAAGGAGAAAATTCATCCAAAATGTATAGGGTGCAGTTAAAGCCAAAATCAAAGGAAAACGTTTAATTAAATATCTTTATTATGAACTATGAAAGACTAAAAATAAAAAACCCAGTTCTACTATTAAGATTAGGAAAGGAACAATATTCAAAGTGCAAAACAGATCCAAGTTAATGTTAAAATTAATGAAAGATGTTTAAAAAAAACAAAGAAAAAATATATTTTTAGACAGTCTCCCTCTGTCACCCGGGCTGGAGTGCAGTGGCGCAATCTTGGCTCACTGCAGCCTCTGCCTCCTGGGTTCGAGCGATTCTTGTGCCTCAGCCTCCCAAGTAGCTGTGATTACAGGTGTGCACCACTATGCCTGGCTAATTTTTGTATTTATAGTAGAGATAGGTTTTTCCCATATTTGGCCAGGCTGGTCTTGAACTCCTAAACTCAAATGATCTGCCTGCCAAAATGCTAAGATTACAGGTGTGAGTCACTGCACTGGCCAAATATTTTTAAACACAATACAGAAGGAGCTGGGGATGGTGACTCACACCCGTAGTCCCAGCACTTTGGGAGGCCAAGGCGGGAGGACTGCTTGAGTTCGAGACCAGCCTGGGCAACATGGTAAAACCCTCTCTCTACAAAAAATACAAGAAACTAGCCAGGCATGGTGGCACGCCCCTATAGTTTCAGCTACTTGGGACCTGAGGTGGGAGGATCACTTGAGCCCAGAAGGTCAAGGCTACAGTGAGCTATGATCATGCCACTGCACTCCAGCCTGTGTGACAGGCTGAGATCCTGTCTCTAGGAAGAAAAGAAAACAATAGAAAGGTTATATAAATCCCAAAGTTGTTATTTGAAAACGTCAATAAAATTGAATAACCCCTCGAGAAACCTAATTCAGGAAGCAAGAGCAATGGTTTATTACTTAACAAATGGTCCTCCTACAAACATCCCTCAGGAAGAAAGTGTTGGGCTCACTTCATACCATTTCTAAACTATATTCCAGATGCTTTGAAGAGTTGCCATTAGCCCAGGCAAAGCCTATAACTTTAACCATTCTACCACACAGATTTATTCAGATATTTCTACAATAAACTTCTTCTATTATACACAGAATAAAATCCTAAACTATAAAGTCCTCTGAAATCATCTTTCCCATTGTCTAACATCCTTCCTCTTAATCAACTCTGTTACCTTTCAAATTCTTAATCCTCCTTTCTGCTCTGCAAAAGACAATGTCAAGAGAATGAAAAGGCAAGCCACAGACTCAGAGAAAATATTTACAAAAGATGTATCTGATAAAGGACTATTATCCAAAAGGTATGAAGAACACTTAAAACTCAACAGTAAGAAAATGAACTTTATCCATTTAAAAACCAGACCAAATATATGAACAGATACCTCACCAAAGAAGACGCACAGATGGCAAACATACAAGATGTTCAATATCATGTCATTAAGAAACCACAAATTAAGACAAGACACTACTACATACCTGTTAGAATGGCCAAAATCCCAAAACACTGTCAGCACCAGATGCTGGTGAGGATGTGGAGCAACAGGAACTCTCATTCACTTCTGGAGGGAATGCAAAATGGTACTCCCACTTTGGAAGACAGCTTGGCAGTTTCTTACAGACATATTTTTACCATATGATCCAGCAATTACATTCCTTCGTATTTACCCAAATGAACAGAAAACTTATGTCCACACAAAAACATGCACACAGATGTTTATAGCAGCTTTATTCATAATTGCCAAAACTTGGAGGCAACTAAGATGTCTTTCAGTAGGAGAATGGATAAACTGGTACATCCAGACAATGGATTATAGTCAGCACTAAAAAAAAAAAAAAGCTATCCACTCATGAAAAGACTACATACTGTGTGATTCCAACTCTATGACCTCAGGAAAGGGCAAAACCATGGAGACAGTAAAAGATAAGTGGATGCCAGGGATTGAGAGGGAGGGAGGGATGAATAGGTGGGAACCAGAGGATTTTTAGGATAGTGAAACTCCTCTGTATAATACTGCAATGGTGGATCCATGTCATTATACACTTGTCCAAGCCCATAGAATGTGCAACACCAAAAGTGAACCCTAAACTATGGACTTGGGAGGATGATGTATCAATGTAGTCAACTGACTGAAACAAAGGTACCACTCTGGTGGGAGGATGTCAGTAGTAGAGGAGGCTGTGCATGTGTTGGGGTAGGGAGGATATGGAAACTCTACTTTTTGTGCAATTTTGCTGTGAACATAAAACACCTCTGAAAATATATTTTAAAAATAGTTCAAAATTCCTTTTTGAGACGGAGTCTCGCTCTGTCGCCCAGGCTGGAGTGCAGTCGCATGATCTCAGCTCACTGCAAGCTCCGCCCCCCAGGTTCATGCCATTCTCCTGCCTCAGCCTCCCGAGTAGCTGGGAATACAGGCGCCTGCCACCATGCTTGGCTAATTTTTTGTATTTTTAGTAGAGACGGGGTTTCACCATGTTAGCCAGGATGGTCTTGATCTCCTGAACTCGTGATCTGCCTGCCTCAGCCTCCCAAAGTGCTGTGATTACAGGCGTCAGCCACCACGCCTGGCCCAAAATTCTTTACTCTTCTCCCAAATCTTCCCTAACCCTCTGTTCACAATTACTCTCTCATTTATACTCATTTATTTATTTATTCGAAACAGAGTCACACTCTGGCTGGAGTGCAGTGGCGCAATCTCAGCTCACTGCAACCTCTGCCTCCTGGGTTCAAAGGGATTCTCTTGCCTCAGCCTCCTGAGTAGCTGGGATTACAGGTGTGTGCCACCTCTCCCAGCTAATTTTCGTATTTTTGTAGAGACAGAGTTTCACCATGTTGGCTAGGCTGGTCTCAAACACCCGGCCTCCGGTGATCCACCCGCCTTGGCCTCCCAAAATGTTGAGATTACAGGCATGCGCCACCGTGCCCAGCCTCATTTGTACTCTTATTACCTCACTGAGATACAAGCAAACAATTTGCCTTGGATGAGGGTGCATTTTAAACCTATCTCCCCCACTCCCTTGGAAAGGAAGTTTCTGCAACTCTCTGTCAGATTTAGTGAATTCATATGCCTCCTTACTGGTCAGAAAGGACTAGCCATATTTATTAGAGATTATATTCTTATTCCTGAAAATCATCAGAGAACATTTGTATTAATTAGCTCAGAGCAAACCTAGACAGAACTTGAAGAGTGTTTACTTCTCCTGCCTCTATGCTGTAATGGACTCAAGCTAGCAGTTCAGTTTTTGTAAGTTTGCTATAAAATCGAACAGAAAATGAATTCTAGCATCTCTCAAGTCTTGTAGATAATGTAGCATAAAATTATTATATGTTATGGCAGTAGCCCTGCTAGCAGTGTTCAAGTCATAAATTCTTAACAAAATGATTCCTTTTCTGTTTTTTGAACTTAATTTGATGGTTTAAAAAAATGAACTGGTCAGGCACAGTGGCTCACGCCTGTAATCCCAGCACTTGGGGAGGCTGAGGCAGGCGGATCACGAGGTCAGGAGTTTGAGACCAGCTTGGCCAGTATGGTGAAACCCCCGTCTCTACTAAAAATACAAAAAATTAGCCAGGCATGGTGGGACATGCCTGTAAGCCCAGCTACTAGGGAGACTGAGGCAGGAGAATTGCTTGAACCCGGGAGGCGGAGGTTGCAGTGAGCAAGATCGCACCACTGCACTCCAGCATGGGAGACAGAGTGAGACTCTGTCTCAAAAAAAAAAAAAAAAAAAAAAAAAAACCCCAAACTCAAGAGGAATAACTAAATAACTAGTAATTGCATTTGATCCAGAACAGAAAGGTAGCCAAAGATATTCTAAGGTTCTCTTCATATCTGAAAAGAAATAAACCCAATTAAAAAAAAGACAAAAACATTTAATAGGTATTACGTACAACTTCAGTACAAATTTTCACTTCAAAAAATATTACAGGATTTTATTAATCACTAGTCCCCCAATAGTCTTTGCAGCTTTCCTTACAGATGAAATGACTTCATTATAAAGCAAACGCTTTGATACAGTACTTTGTTTATACTTACACACACATCAGAGAGAATTTTATTATGTGCCTTGAACTTCAACAACTTTCAACTGTTACAGGAATTGCTTGAGCTGATGTCCTAAGTCAATCATTAACCAAAACATATTTTAAGAATAGGCAAGAAATCTGAGAAGATGGTGATGTAAAAGGGACTAGGCTTGGGGTCAGAGAACAATGGTGAGTTGTGAAGTACCTAAACCAGTCTGCGTGAACTGCACACGTTAGAGAACAGCAGGAACGAAATAAGCTACAAGGTCACAACAAGCAGCCCTGGATGGTAGCATCAAAGATGAAATATTTAAAAAACCACAGAATGAAGTCCCCAAGACGGCAGCTGCTCATTGTCAAGATTATTTAATCAACTCTGCCGCTGACCTGGGAATCCTACCAGCTAGTAAGCATTGATTTTAAAAATAAATAAGGCAATTCCAATTGTCCTTTTTTTTTTTTTTTTTTTTTTTTAAAGAGAATTCTGGTATGAGAACTATACCTACTACCAACTCCAAATCCAATCTATGTTGTTCACTAAATTTGACAGTCATGATCAAATAACATTTAACTCTTAAACTCCTTGTAACTTCTTTGTGATTCACCTCCCCAGGTCAACACAATTCTGTGTGTTTTTACGTACGGTCAGACTCTGAAGAGCTACTTAGGAAATGAGCACCTATTTTAGCAGAAATTTTATTCTCTGTCCCATTTATGTGCTATCTGGAACAAGGAGAAAACCTAAAAACGAGATCTATTTCCAGCACTGCAAGCAACTTTGGAGGAGCTTACTTTTCCCCTGTTTCTTTGACTGGTTGTTACATTTATCTGTTTTCAAATTTACCTCCTTTTTGGTAAGAAAAGAGGTTATAGGGAAAAAAGCATTTGAATGAATTCTTCAATTTCATTTCATTTATGACTCTGTTAATAGCGATGTGTATCTTGGCAAACCAGCTTCTCCAAGCAACCCATCTTGCTCTCTCCCCCAGACTCTGTTAAGGACCATTCTGTTTATTTCTTGTGTTTATTATGGAGGTAAAAGCCATATAAAGCACGTAACTGCCACTAAAGGAATCCTGATCACTTAAACACCGCCTTTTATGATTGGTTAACTATGCATCTTATCTGTCTAACTCTGTGGGTCATGGATTCCTTTTTCTGTTATCCTTTTCCAGGTATTAGTTTTCAGATGAAGAGAGATACGTGTTGTAACTTTTGTTTTGATGGCCAGATTTAAGTAATCTGCAATATATCTTGATAGTGACAATGAAAACTAATTCTGAAATTCCAGATGTCTAATTGGTAACAAGAGCATGGCATAGCCCAGGCAAGATGATCCTTACCATCCTAGCGGTCAGTGTTTAGGACAGACATTCCCCAGTCATGTGAGGGATGACACTTGATCACGGCTGTACAAGCCTCTGTACCAGGCTCCCAGATACGACAGGCAGTACAGTAAGATTTCACTAGTGAACTTCTTATTAAATAGCAAAAACATGGTATCTGATCCAAATGGATTCTAGACTTTGTAACATTACTTTAAAAATGTAAAGCACTATGGTAATGTCTTTTTCAGTTATTGAATAGGTGAGAAGTGCTGTTGGAAACGTGGGAAAAATGTATAGGCAAAAAATAAACCTAATAAACATATAGACAAGCAAACCCAGAAACACCGGCCTGGGGATTCTTATATGCAGGGACACATAACACTTTCCATCCTGAAGCTCCAGCCGGACAGACGCGGTTGAAACACTCTCCATATTCTAACAATGAGAATCAGTATCACGTGTCAGCATGAGTTTTTACACTGTGTGCTTTTATGTGGTATGCATGGAATATAAGTGGAAAAAAGGATCTGTGAGGTTTCATTTAATAAGGATTAGATGGTGGATAAAAATTGGTTCCAGTAGCACACCACAGCTCAGGATTATAATAATTGAAAGGGGATGCAATGTCTAAGACACGGCACAGGAGGCTTCAGCTAGTTTAAAATAAGGTTAAGCTAATGATATATGCTTTAAAGGCAAAGCGGTGTATGACCCCAGCTCCCCCGGGATTCACCCATCATCAAGGTTAATGCACATGTACACAGTTAAACACGAAGGCTCATGGGAATGTACTGTCTAGTCATTAGGTTGACTCTGATTTTTTGTAACCTTGTTTAAGTGGGCCAGGACAGCTATTAATGGTCCCAATGACCTCTTTCTCTAATCCTTACTTTATACATCAGGTGGCTCCCCAAAATGTTATACCAAATCTGTAAAATACAAATAAAACCAAAGACAAATCCCCACCACGTACAACATGAACTGAACAACCATTTAAAAACTCAATGGGTGAGAACTTCTTGGGCCTCATCTGCTAGATTCCTTTCTTAAAATCCATACACCAAATTTAACAGGAAGGTTCCCACTCTTTGAAGAGGAAACTTCAGATGTACAAGTCTTGAGTGAAAGATATTTTGGTGGCTGACTAACCATCTTACTGAATAAGAGACACGATTTTTGTAAACGACACAAGAGTGACAGATGCACAAATGTTTTGGCCAGTGTGCCTTTAAATAGGTATCTCCCTAGAGGGAGGAAGGTATGCATTCTACAGGAGGGCAGCCTTCAAAGCTGCTCAGTCATGTTTTTGCCAGTGGGTCAAATACCTGCAGTGCTGTCCTCTTGTCTTGGTCACTGATTGTCACCCAGTGACCCAAGGTTTTGTGTTCATGATCTGGTGGCAGCTCCGCCTTCACAGCTGAAGTGCCAACTGACACTGGGTCTATGGGATCCCTTTCAGGGCTCCTGGTCCCTGAGTCCAAAGGGTCTGAGCTCTTAGAAAGCCAAGTGTTATTCAACAGTTTAGGGTGGTGAAGAAGGTTCCAGAAGGGGTCTTGATAATCACCAAGAAGAGGGGCTGCCTCTGGCGTCATCGCTTTGGTGCCATCGCTGTCGGGGCTTGTAGCAGATGAAGTGCTGAGTAAGTCCCCTTGTGGAAGAATGGCGCCCACAGCAGGCGGGTGCCCAGAGGGGCTGTCGCTGCTGTTGTAAGTGAGGCCCTGGAGGAGCTGGCTGTTGCTCTGCAGGACCTGCAGGTGGAAGGCTGCGGGGGCTGACTTCTTCCTCCTCGGGGGGACCTTGGGCACAAGAGATGGTGCCTCCAGAGGTGGCGGCACGGAGGCTCCTGCCACAGGAGGGGCTTCGTCTGATGCCGGCTTTCCATGGCTTGGTCTCTCTGCAGCTTTCCCAGGCTGAAATGTTCTTGGTTTGGGAACAGGAGGGACTTGAGGGACTGTCGCGAGAGGAGGGGCCTCAAGGCTTGTCTCCGGGGGCCCGATTGTAAAATGGACAGTCTGCTGCTCAAACTGTTCTTCCGGTGACAGGGGCTGAGAAAAGGTGGGACAAAGAGTGTAAATAAGAAGCCAACACCTGGGCAGCTGAGGATCAGAGAACACTGAGTGGTCAGCAGAGAACAGAGATGAGACCAAGCTGACATTCTAGCAAATTCGAGATTTGAGAATGTGTGGGGTGCCAGAAATGTCACCAGGTAGGGAAAAGAAAAAGCACAGGAGAAACACACATGTATCAGGTCACAACAGCAGGTCCAATGAAAATGAGTGGAAATTTTAAAACCAGGGCCACAGTAAATAATCAGAGAAACTTTTCTTTGTCACTTTAGGAAATGGGGTTATGCTTTTCCTTTATTGAAAGCAAACCTCTCTGAAAACACTCTTTGAAGATGCAACCTGGGCTGATTCATGGTCTGTACCATGCTAGGGTGAAGTAACTTGTGTTACAACACTAAGCTGATTGAAGGACTAATGGATATACTTTCTCCTTGAATTTTTTTTTTTTTTTTTTTTTGACAAGGAGTCTCGCTTTGTTCCCCAGGCTGGAGTGCAATGGTGCAATCTCAGTTCACTGCAACCTCTGCCTCCCAGGTTCAAGCGATTCTCCTGCCTCAGCCTCCCGAGTAGCTGGGATTACAGGTGCCCGCCACCATGCCTGACTAATTTTTGTATTTTTAGTAGAGACAGGGTTTCACCATGTTGGTCAGGCTGGTCTCGAACTCCTGACCTCAGGTGATCTGCCTGCCTTAGCCTCCCAAAGTGCTGGGATTACAGGCGTGAGCCACTGTGCCTGGCTCCTTGAATCTTTTATACTTAAATATTGGTAAAAAATGGAAATCTTGACACTGCTTTGGTTCTGGTTCAAATCTGTCACAAAGAAAACAACTGCACAGGCAAAATGAAGCTTTTGTACAGAAAAGGTGATCAGTAGACTAGTTAAACATTGGCGTTTCGGTGTTTCTTTAGGTTCTTTAGAAAACTAAAAGAAAAGAAAGTCGCTTTTCCAACAGCCTTTTACTCTAACTCCTGTGCAGCAGGCTGGGAAAATGAATCCATTTCTGCTCCTGGCTTTTACAAGAAAAGACAAAGCAGGTGGTCCCCGACTTACAATGGTTCCACTGAGGATTTTCCACTTTACCCTACTGTGCAAGTGCTAACGTTCCATAGAAAGCATACTTCGATTTTTGAAGTTTGATCTTTTCTTTTTATTATTATAAAATAGGCTGTGTTGAATGTTTTTTTTTTTTTTTTTCCCAGCCATAGGCTAATGTGTGTGTTCTGAGCATGTTCAAGGTCAGCAAGACTATGACGTTTGGTAGGTGTATTAGATGCAGTTTTGACAAGATATTTTTCAACTTATGATGGGTTTATTGGGACATCACCCCATTTTAAGTCGAGGAGCATCTGAACGGGGAAAAGGCAGAGGAAAAAGGTCCACTTTGTAAGGAGGCATGGACAAGGGATGGATGGTAATGAGCCAATGTAGGACAGAAGAGCAACCCAGGAAATACAAAGCAAGCGCTGTCAAGAATGAAGCCGAAGCCCCCCTCACACTCTCTAGGAGAGAAGCAGCATCGTGCTGTGACGACCAGGAAGGGATTACCGAGGGTCCGTTACTAGAACACTGAGATCAAACGGAAGATCCAGATGTGTCTACAGATGCCAGTCTTTGGGCTGCTACTGTCCTTACAAACTCATGTCTTTGAAGCAGTAAGCAAGGCTGAGAAGCTTGAGAGCGAGAGCAAAAAACAATCTGCAAGAAAAGTGGCAAGAAAAGCTGTGGATCCTCTCGTAGACTGAGGCCACACGAAAGCATGTGAACATGGCGAATCTGGGAATCAGTTACTGTTTTTCTAATGCCTTGAAACCATGTGCACACAACACAGACTACATGCAAATGGGCGGTACCAGAACACGTGGGGAAAAGCATCCCACCGTGGTTCCCTCTGGGGACTCAGAACACTTAGGAAGCATAATGCCTCCAAGCTGTTCTCGTCACACTGACAATCTGCAAGACAGTGGACTCCTCGTTCTTCTCAGCCAGAGCCAAGACACAGTAGGATGAGGGAGGAAGCAGTTGTCAGACCTTTCCCCAAAGACACGCCTGTGTCTAGGACTCATGAACATGAGGCTGTCCATAGGGAATTTCTTTTTTTTTTTTTGAGATGGAGTCTCACTCTGTCGCCCAGGCTGGAATGCAGTGGCACAATCTTGGCTCACTGTGACTTCGGCCTCCAGGTTCCTGTCTCAGCCTCCTGAGTAGCTGGGATTACAGGTGTGCACTACCACACCCAGCTAATTTTTCTATTTTTAGTAGAGACGGGGTTTCACCATGTTGGTCAGGCTGGTCTCGAACTCCTGACCTCGTAATCCGCTCACTTCAGCTTCCCAAAGTGCTGGGATTACAGGCCACAATTCTTATCTATCGAGACATGTGAGCAACTTAGGAGTAAGAGGTTTTATGTTACCAGGCTTTTACCTTTCCTGTCCTTCTCAAGGTTGGCTTCTTGATGGCAGGAACTCTGGGTGGGGGTCGACGGGGCAGGAGCGGGGGCACCTGTGGGGTCTCTGGTTTGGCTGCCCCCGGTATGGGCTCTGGTTCAGACGATGCTTCGGGGGCCCTTGGAGCCATGGCACTTAGGGCTTCTTCGGAAGTGCCTGAAACATTAAACCACATGGCCGAAGTGTAAAGGACCAGGCAATTCACTGCATGACTTCATCTTTAGACAGTCTACATCCTAAGGGTCATTTACTAATTCAATGTATTTCAGGAGTAACCAGCTAGGTTCAGCCCCAGCATTTTTCCTTTTTTATTTTTTAAGATGGGCTCTCGCTCTGTCACCCAGGCTGGAGTGCAGTGGCATGATCATGGCTCACTGCAGTCTCAACCTCCCAGTCTCGAGCCATTCTCCCACTTCAGCCTCCCTAGTAGCTGGGATTACAGGTGAACACTGCCACGCCCAGCTAATTAAAAAAAATTTTTAGTAGAGATGAGGTCTCGTTATGTTGCTGTAACTCCTGGGCTCACGCAATCTACTTACCTCAGCCTCCTAAGTAGCTGGAACTACCGGTGGGAACCATCACGCCTAGCTAATTTTAAAATTTTTGTAGAGACAGGGTCTCACTCTTGCCCAGACTTGTCTCGAACTCCTGGACTCAAACAATCCTCCTGCCCTGGCCTCTCAAAATGCTGGGATTATAGGCGTGAGCCACTGCACCCAGCAGCCCCAGGTTTTCACGCTCACCTTCCTAGCAGGGATGGTGATCCGGGGTCTGTGGATAGTCTGGATGACCCTGAGATCATATGCAAAGTCTCATGTGTACTTACATTTCTCAGGGTAGATGATCCAAACATAAAAAAATCTCAATGGGGCCATGACCAAGAGAGTGTTAAGCTGGGACTGTAGGTAGATTTCAAACCTCTACTAACATCTACATCTCTAGCATTTTTTTTTTTAAACAGCTTTATTGTCGTATAATTCACATACTGTGAAATTCACCCTTTCTAAGTGTACCATTCACTGGTTTTTAGTATATTCAGAGTTGTGCCACCATCACACTATCTAACTCCAGAACATTTTCATCACACAAAAAAGAAGCCCCACACCCGTCAACAGCCACTCCCCACCCAGGCCTCCGTCCAGTCCCTGGAAAGCACGAAGAACTTTCTGACCCCATGAATTTGCCTGCTGTGGCCATTTCATAAAAAGGGGATGATACACTATGTGGCCTTTTTTTCTTTCTTTCACATAGCATAATCTCTTCAAGGTCCACCCATG